TTTATTTTATTTGTGTTACTTATTTATTTGATTTGGGGCTTGTTTTAAAATTTCAATTTAGTTTTGTTATTTACATTTACATTATATTTACATTTTGTCATTTAGCAGACGCTTTTATCAAAATTATAGATTTTTCTTTTATGCCAAAAATCATTAGGATATTAAGTAAAGATCATGCTCCATGAAGATATTTTGTAAATTTCCTACCGTAAATATATCAAAACTTAATTTTTGATTAGTAATATGCATTGCTAAGAACTTCATTCGGACAACTTTAAAGATGATTTTCTCAATATTCTGATTTTTTTTGCACACTCAGATTCCAGATTTTCAAATAGTTGAATCAAATAGAAATTAGTGTCCTTCTAACTGTGACTATATCTATCTGCTAATGTTATAATGCACGCTAGCATATCGATGATCTCACGCCTCAGACGATGAGAGCTCACCTGCAGCAGCTGATTGAGTCGAGCGCAGCAGCTGGTGATGGAGTCGACAGCAGACAGATCTTTAACGCTGCCGTGGCCTCCGTATTTAAACTTCAGCATCACTGCAGGACAAACATGAGCAATACAGTCAAATCAACCTGCATGACAGGCGACGTCTCTGATGTCCACTACACAATGACCGTGTTCCAATCCTAGTCAGCTGCCTATCTAGACACCAATTAGGGGAATATGCCTATGATGCCCGAAAGATGTTATCGAAGTAGGCAGTTCATCAGGATTTGATACACAGTGCTGCAATGTCTTAAAGTGTTAAAACAATTTCAGACCCAAATATTAGTATAAAAACAAGCTTCAATGAAACTAAAAGCTTAATTATATACACACAGCATATCTTTATCCTCCTGGGACCCAGGCATAGACTTCTGTCCTCTGCAGAGGACATTATATTTTAGTGAATTTCTCTGGATGTCCTGTTCGGAGCACATTCGTGGCTTTTTCGGAGGTTTGATTATAATCACTCCCTCTCCTTGGTCTTTAAATATGACTGATATTGACAGAATGATCAGATTTAGCACTCTCAGGGAAATTTGATAGTGTTTTGTAATTATCATTTAAATCTGACTAATAAAACAGAGAGTTCCGGTGCTTGATTCTGATTGGTTGAGCCGCGTTCGAAGCTGTTGTAAATTACTCTACAAACATACACCTTTGTTTACTTCTGTGTGTTGCTCGGCAACCACTTTGTTGCAACCACAACTGTTTCTGAGGAACTACATTGTTTGGTGGAAGAATACTGTTTTTATTCATATCATTACACTTTAGTTGCTCTGTTTTATTCTGTGAATCCTTACTACGTATATGGAATAACCGTTTTATAAAAGCAATAAGCCCCGTGAAACCGTGGTTTACAGTGAATTTATAACAGTTCCGCTTCGCGTCGTACCTAACAACACCCCATAGCTGTTATAAATTCACTGTAAACCACGGCTTCTTGCTTTATTATGTGCTCATATTAACTGAGAATATTTATACTTCACATCATAACAAATTAAAAAAACGTTCATCCATTAAAACAACTCAGTATATGATAATGTTCATGATAATAAACATGAATCAGTTAAACTGACACTCATAACAGTTACATCCAACCATAAACACTTGACCAACGGACAGCAAAATACACCGTCATTACACAAATAAGTTTAATATTTAATAAAAACACAATGACATCGCGTCCGAAATCACTCATAATGAGATTAACTGACATTATGACCGTCGATATTAAGGCAGCAAGGTTTCACTTTCCCTCGTTATTTACCGTTGAGTTCATAACGGTCGTTTTTAACGGACATATTCAACCCAGTTTGAAAGAAGATTAGATATATGCTCACCTAATGCTCATGTGAGAATATCTGAACCTGTAAATGAGAGGTTTAGTGTAGATTAATCGCGTTTAGACGAACATCTCTGATTGACTGACGTGTGGAAACGTTCATCGCTTCCGGATGAATTCAAATTTTGCGCGTTCAGCGCGACAATTCATTGGTCGACGCAGCCGAGATGCGTCATGACGTTTGCCGAAGCCCCGCCCACCGTCATATAATCTGGATTACGTAATCAGACTCCAAAAATTAAGTACTTGTAATTAGATTAAATTACATTTTTAAATACTTGTAATCAGACTACAGTTACTTTTTATGGATTACATGATCACATATTATTTACACAATTATTTAAATTTATTGATTCTACCTGATTAATTGAAATTTTCCTTTCTAAAATAGCCTACCGCTTATATACACTCAGAAAGTCTTCCAGTTTTGTGGAAAAAAGCATTTGAGCACTGGATTTACAAAAATCATTTCAGATTTAAGAAGTTAAATACATACATTTTTATTTGAATTATCACTCAGTAGGTTATTTAACCATGTATTTCTAAGTCTTTAGAAGGCTTTTGTCTTTCAAACACATTAAAATGCACAAATTCACAAACTTTGTTGTCATCTGAACCTCTTTCACCTATTTACTTGAAGTACCCCTGAGATTTTAAAATAAATATTTTAATAGGAAGTATCACATTTGCATGTTCACGGTTCTCTGACGTTGGTTATGGTCACATGTTAAACAAATAAAATATTTAAAAATTTAGATTGTAATTACATTTGTATGATTTAAAAAAATTACTGTTTTTTAAATTGTATAATTTATTTTATTTTAATTTATTTATTTATTTGTTTATTTTGCATATGTTTACCCTTGAGTGTGTGTGTGTGTGTGTGAGTGAGTGAGTGAGTGAGTGAGTGAGTGAGTGTGTGTGTGTGTGTGAGAGAGTGTGTGTGTGTGTGTGTGTGTGTGTGTGTGTGTGTGTGTGTGTGTAGTTCTGGTTAAAAAATTAAAAATAAATAAATCTCTGTTAAGTTATATAATCTAGAAATGATGTATTATGAAATATATACAATGCAAATATGAATTGTAATACTATCCTCAAAAGCTCACTGTTAAACTGGAAATTAGTGTAAATTTTTTTTTAAATTTTAATGTTAATATTATAATATATTATTATTAAACTATCAAGACAGTCTTTGTAAACAATAAAACTGAATACATTTTTTTTTACAATTTTGTGTAAAACGATTACACAAAAATGAACTAGTCTATAATTAGTCTTTTTAAAGTATACTTTATAAATAACTATTTTTCACTTCCACGTTATTGGTCATAAATGTAAGATGAAGTCAAGCACATTGCATTATGGGATGCAGTATTCAGTGCTGTTCAGTGTACATACTGTACTACATACTGCAGAAACTGTAAGAGAAGCGTGTTAATATTACAAAAACACAATGTGAGACAACATGATGAAAGATCACTGCAAGTCAAGTCAATTTTATTTGAATAGTTCTTGTCACCATACATGTTGTTTCAAAGAAAAATTAATTAAACGATCATTTCAGGGGAAAGTTCAGGACTTTAATACAATAAAGACTGCTTCAGCTTTCTTCTTATAGGCTCTATGGAAGCCTGTTTCTGCTACAGGAAAAAACAATAATTAAAAAACGTATTTGCAACTTTTTTTTCATGCAGTTTTAAGAAGGAAGTCATAATTGCAAGATAAAAAGTCAAAATTCTGAGACAAAAACTCAATTCTGAGGAAAAAAAGTCAGAATCACAGTTACCTTTTTTTTAAATTCTATGGCAGAAACAAGCTTCCATAAATCTCAGTATCAGAAGCAGAGCTCCGAACAGAAGTGTTTTAGACGTGTCTCACCATCCAGGCGGCAGACAGACAGTGAAGCGCTTCTATCTATATACTACATAAGTTACATTACCACACTCTGACGAGCCGCAGAGAACAACATTTCTCTCATTGAGTCTCACTGGCTTGTGAAGATCCGGTTTCCCTGGTGATGCCTGTGAGCACCATGGCAACAGCCTCCCCGAGCTGTGATGGAGAGAGACATGGGAAATTACAGAGACATAAGAGAGAAAATAGAATTGATCCGAGTTCCCAGACAAGACGATATCACCAGCAATCACGGGTCATTACAGCAATCACGACACAATGCTCTAAGCCTAAGATTAAGATTAAGAAATCAGCTTGCCCGATAAATTAATCACATATTTCTTCATCAGATTTGGAGAAATGTAGCATTGCATCACTTGCTCAGTAATGGCTCCTCTGCAGTAAATGGGTGCCGTCAGAATGACATTTACATTTAATCATTTAGCAGACGCTTTTATCCAAAGCGACTTACAAATGAGAACAATAGAAGCAATCAGACCAAAGAGAGAACAACAACAGTATACAAGTGCCATGACAAGTCTCAGTGAGTCTAGCACAGTACACGTAGGGTGTTGTTGTTGTTTTTTAAATAATAGAATGAAACAGAACAGAATAGAATAGGTAAGTGCTAGTATTAGTTAGTCAGGTGCTGGCGAAAAAGATGTGTCTTTAGATGTTTTTTGAACATGGCTAAAGACTCAGCTGTTCGAATTGAGATCGGGAGGTCATGCCACCAGCCAGGCACAGTCCAAAGGTCCGTGAGAGTGATTTTGTGCCTCTTTGGGATGGCACCGCAAGGCGCCGTTCACTTACAGAACGCAAGCTTCTGGAGGGCGCATAAGTTTGAACTAGCTAGTTTAGGTATATTGGTGCAGCGCCAGTGGTGGTCTTGTAGGCAAGCATCAGTACCTTGAATTTGATGCGAGCAGCTACTGGTAGCCAGTGTAACCTGATGAGGAGAGGAGTAATGTGAGCTTTCTTCAGCTCACTGAAGACCACATTACAATAGTCCAGTCTGGAGAGAACAAGAGCTTGGACAAGAAGTTGTGTGGCTTGCTCTGACAGGAAGGGTCTAATCTTCCTAATGTTGTATAAGGCAAATATGCAGGACCAGGCCGTTGTAAGCAATGTGGTCGGTGAAGCTTAACTGATCATCGATCACAACTCCTAGGTTTCTGGCTGTCCTGGAAGGAGTTATGGTTGATGAACCCAGCTGTATAGAGCAGCTGTGATGAAACGATGGGTTTGCTGGAACCACAAGCAGTTCTGTCTTAGTAAGGTTGAGTTGAAGGTGATGGTCCTTCATCCAACTAGAAATGTCTGTCAGACAGGCTGCAATGCGAGCAGCTACCGTCGGATCATAACTGTGTCAAAAGCAGCAGACAGATCCAGCAAGATGAGTACTGAGGATTTGGAAGCTGCTCTTGCCAGTCTCAGGGCTTCAGTAACCGAGAGCAGGGCAGTCTCAGTTGAGTGGCCGCTTTTGAAGCCAGATTGGTTGCTGTCCAGGAGGTTGTTCTGTGCAAGAAACATAGAGAGTTGGTTGAACACAACTCGCTCAAGTGTCTTTGCAATGAATGGAACAAGGGATACCGGTCTGTAGTTTTTGGATTTAGAGAGGGTTTTTACCCGAGCCTGCTTAAATGCTGTGGGAAATGTACCAGTGTGAAGAGAGGTGTTGATAATGTGAGTAAGCGAAGGTATGACTGAAGAAGAAATGGCCTGAAGGAGGTGAGTGGGGATAGGATCAAGTGGACGAGTAGTAGGATGATTGGAAAGTATACGTTTGGAAACGTCCGTCTCCGAGAGTGGGGAGAAGGAAGAGAGAGTGTATTTGTCGTTGTGAAGTTATCATCAGTTTGTGGTGTTTGGTGAGACACTGATGCAATGCTGCATTTCTCCAAATCTGATGAAGAAACAAACTCATCCTAATCTCGGATAGCACAAGCATTATATAACATCAGAAGACTTGAATATAGTGCATGAGTCATATAGTCTACTATTATGATGCTGCAGAAAGAAAATGCCATGGAAACATCCTCATCATTCTGCACAGTGCAATGCATCATACTATGAACTTGAATGCATTACACATCCTACACACTGTACAGTTTCTATTAAAGCAAGGTTTTTTTTTTCTCAGTTGTTCTCTTTAAGCTCACGTAGATGTGGTCGTTCACGTTCTCCCAGGATCAGATGGAGCAGGCGAGCAGACATGACCTCAGGGGTCACCGCACCAGCAGGACGACAAATGAGGACATCTGGAGCTAAAACTACAGAACAGCTTCATAGAGACGTCACACTAGATTTTACACTTGCTGAAGAACATCAACAGCAAACCTCACCACGATATTCTGGCTGGCTGTCAAGACACAAATAACTTTGTATTTGCCCTGAATAAACAAGACTTAAAAAACATCAAAGCAAGAGTTATTTACTGTAAAGAAAAATACTTTTATATACATCTTATGTATTCAGTCACATGATCTTCAGAAGTCATTCTAATATGCTGATTTGCTGCTCGAGAAACATTTCTGATTATTATCAATGTTGAAAACAGTTGTGCTGCAAAATATTTTTGTGGAAACTGTGATACACTACCATTCAAAGCTTTTGGGTAAATTATATTTATAAAAGAAAAGAAAAAGAACGTCATCAAGGATGCATTAAATTGATAAAAAATGACTGTTAGTAAAAACATTTATATATTTAAGAAACAAAGCAGAGTCAATGATTATATCAAGGCCAAAGCAAAATGTAGTTCTGAAAAAAAAAAAAAAAGCATCAGACTGCAGCAGTTTGTCACAGCGAGCCGAATAACGCTGTATTAGAGCAACACCTTGTGGTGAAACAACCACAGAAACAGTTTAGCTATTAAAAACAATGAGTAAAGATGAGTATCGTGTTCTCTTAAAATGTTTATTATCGTTAGATTCATGTTGGGACAATGAATACGAGTAATAGTTCATCTTTTCCAGTGTACACCAGATCATCACACATACAAACAGAAGATGATATGAACACAAATTAGCAAGTGTTTGTCTGTGAACATCTCAAAGCAAGGATCATTCGCTCACACAATCAGTCGCTGTAATCACGTATTAGGGTCCAAAAGCGTCACCCGCAACACTCGGCTCTTCACACTGTGATATTTTCAGTCACAAGTGCTGTTGGTCTCTTGATATTCTTACTGAAAAGGAACTAGATTGTGTTCAGAAGATCCGAGGAGTCAAAGCTTACAGTCACACGATTCGCTTTAAAGAGGTCACTTTTCTTTTTCGTCTCTCTACACTCGGAGAACAAGGACAGATTAGGCTCTAAGAGAACCAAAAATTCAGTTAAAATGATCATTCTGTCATCATTTACTCACCTTCACGTCATTCCAAACCGGTGTGAAACACGAAAGGAGACGTTTAGCAAAATGTTCCCGCTGTAAAAGCATCATTAAGCACTTTTACGTTTCCATTTGTGATCCACAGAGGAAATTAAATGGTTCGCAATGACATGAGTGCAAGTGACAGAATGTGCATTTTCGCATGAATTATTCCATTAATAGGAACAGTTCACGCAATTAGGATGAGTTTGTTTCTTCATCAGATTTGTAGAAATGTAGCATTGCATCACTTGCTCAGCAATGGATGCTCTGCAGTGAATGGGTGACGTCAGAATGAGAGTCTGATAAAAACATCACAATAATCCACACGTGCTTGATCCGTGCAGATTTCTCTCCTGATTCAGACCAGAACACTTTTTCACTGGAGGAAGAGTTATTATGGATTATGAACTCTAAGGTATTTTAGTTAAAAACGTCTTAATGCTGGATTTGTTTCAGCTTTTGTCTTCTCCAGATGTTAACTGATGGACTGGAGTGCTGTGGATTACTTGTGGATTATTGTGATGTTTTTATCAGCTGTTTGGACTCTCATTCTGACGGCACCCATTCACATCCATTGGTGATGCAATGCTACATTTCTCCAAATCTGATGAAGAAACAAACTCATCCTGATCTCGAATTGCCTGAGGGTGAGCACATTTTCGGCTAATTAATTTCTGCATTATTTACTCCTTTAAATCCGCGCTTTCATGAGATTGAGCATTTCCTCCCAGCTCTGTAAATATAATCACTTTCAGTCAATGGCACCAGATTCACTAAACGCTACTGTGTGTTTGATTGTATAATCTGTTAGTAAAAAAATACAGTTTTACAAAAATGAAAGACAAGAGAGAAAGCAAAAGGCAAAACAAGTGTCTCTTGGTAATTGGCAGAGCAGCGCAGGTTTGGTCCGTAGCATGAAAATACGGGAAAATTCATGATGTTCTCCAACTTATACGTGGTCCTGATTGGTACGTCATTGGAACACATTTGGCCTCGTTGCTTTGATTCCACAGCGACGCGAAACGCAGACAATGACGAGCATTTCATTCTCTATTTTACAATTCCTGCGGCAGATCTTCCGAGCGTCTTCTGGGAAAAAAAAGACAACGATGAAGTGCGACGCCACTGGAATCCAATCCTGCTAAAACATCGGAGTCTGTAGGCGTCCAAAACGGGCTCATCATTAGTAAATCTCTATCAATACTAGTCTCTGGCGGGTTGGTTTAAGTGTGTTAAGCCGTCTGGCTCTTGTCAGTTCAGTGGCGTTTCGTCGATTGGCTCTCTAAAGGTGTGTGTGTGTGTGTGTGTGTGTATACATGAGTCCGGTCCATTAGCAGCATTTCTTCTTGCGTTTGCTGCTCTTACTCAGTTTGACGACTTCGCTCTGCTGCTGCTGTTTGGCCACAGACTCTTTCCGGACCTTCAGGACGAGCTCAGTGATGCAGTTGAACATCTGATGCACAGACAGACACAATAACACATCAGCGAGACCGTCTAAATCAATAAAAACAAAACACAATGCATTCCTGAACATTAGATGTTTGCTTCAAATTACATGACAAAGGGCACATACTGTACACTTTTGTAGTATACAGTGTTATTTTAGTATCACTGAGATACTATTATAGTTTATTAATATTTTTAATTTATTTGTTTTTCAACTTTCCATTTTAGTTGTAATTTTTGTTAAAGGTTTATTAATTTTGTTATGTTTTTGCCATTTTCATATATTTAAAAAATGTTTTTAATAGTTTTTATTATTATTTTTTTTATAAATTTTTCATTTATTTATTCATTTTTAACATTTAGTTTTAAGTTTTAGTTTTACTATTACACTTGTATTAATATTTTGAATTAATTTAGATTTTTCTACTTTCCGTTTTAATTTTAGTTAAAGTTTTATTAATTTTGTTATGCGTCTATAGTTTTTATTAATTTCTAGCTTTTTTAATACATTTTTTAGTTTTATTAGGTTTTAGCTTTACTTGTTTTAATACATCAAGTGAAACTTTTAAATGTGTCTATATAGTTTTTATGAATTTTTAGTTTTAGAGAAAGGAAAAAATGAAATCGCATCATATGACCCCTTTAATGTCTTATAAAAAATGTATATATATATATATATATACATATATAAAGTTTTAGCTTTACTTATTTTAGTACCTCAAGTGAAACTAAATGAAAATGATAAATGTTGCCTTGGCAACATGCTAAAATATCCCTTAGTAGAAAAACATGTGACTGATTATTTGTCTATATTGCATTTTATTTCAGTTAACATTTATTTAATATCATGTGACAATTTTAGTTAACTATAATAACCTGGAAGTACATTATTTCTTTTAAGTCCACTGGATAACAACACTGACCTGAACCGATCTGAATAATAACTCTATTGTCTTCTGTAGAGCTGCTTTATTGCTGAAAGTGAATTAGTTCTGTAACTGACTGATTTGACAACATTAACACTGTTATTTTCCGTGTTGGTTACCGTGAAGCTGCTATGAAACGATCTGTACTTTATAAAGCGCTATAGAAATAAATGTGACTTACCGCATCGAATCAATCCACATGTAGATCAAACATTTTCAGTCTAGTGTCACATCAAACTCTTTTATTGCTGCTTTTCATGATCTGACTCCATTAATGGCTTTATTTTCTGTAACCTGATGATGGTGTTTAATCTAACCGTGTTTGAAAAGCTTGACTTACGTCCTCGACGTTGACGTTCTCTTTGGCGCTGGTCTCAAACAGTCGGATGCCCATCTGCTCAGCAAACTTCTGCGCGTCATTGGTCTCCACCACTTTAGAGGCGGGATCGTCATTCTTATTACCCACTGACCCCAGAGCAGAGGAAACGAGCGTTAAAACCAATCATAACACGCTGAAAACTGAATCTGATCAAATACCAGCAAAAATGTCAAGTTCATATTTGTAAGTCAATTGTTATTCGCTTTGGATAAAAGCGTCTGCAAAATGACTAAATGTACATTTCATCCACAAAATATTAAAAATTAAAGATAAAGAAAATTATGCATATTATTAGGACCATTGTTTTTTTTTTTGTATTGTGTAAATAAGTCAATTAAAGACATTTTCCTTCAAAAATCTCATTACTGCAATGCTAGACAAAACATTTCAATATAAAAATATGCAAAATAATATAGCCTAATAATATTAAATGTCCAACATTTTCATTAAGGGCAGCTGAAATTAATTTTACTGTTTTTAAACAAAAAGGCCATTTAAATGAATATATAAAATGGATTAAAAACACATTTGGAATGCACTTTTTATGAGTACGCATTCATTGAGAATATTAATACTTGTAAAAAAATAAAATAAAATAAAAAAAATTATATATATACTGTATATATTCTATATATCACACAAATATACAATTAACCTAAAATCTTGATAGTGGTAAAAATATTTTTACTCATTTATCAACTGCTGCAATTTAACTTCTTCGCATGTAACTTTGTGGAAGCTTCATTCGAAACTGTAACTTTCACACGTTTCTTTGAGAGATTCATTGAAAAAAGCAACAATGTATTTACCTAATATTCGACAGCACAACCACATCAGCGCTCTGAAGCTTTACCAACACAAAAATAAAACCGCAATAAAAGTCCTGAGACAGACACACTGATGGACACGAGGACAGGTTTGTTCATTTGTTTATAATTCAGCATCATTCCAGCTCCCAGAGCTAGAGTCACTGCGAGAAATAAGTGAAACACAGACAAATAATAATATATTTATTAGTTTACCTGCATGTCATGTGACCAACATCACAGAACTTTATAAAAAATATTTTTTTAATTATTGAAATATTTAACTTAAAATCTCAGGGGGACTTCAAGTAAATATTTTAGCTCAAAAGGGTTTGGCTGAAAAATAAAAGGCTGGGAATCTGATTTAACCCTCTGGGCCTCTTCGTTTAGGGGTCACACTTGGCTCCTTCGCGGTCAAAAGTGACCGAAGCCTCAAAAAGTAACTTTTTGTTTTCAGGAAAATCAATGTAATATATTTTTGTTCAATAATATTTTTTTATTCTTATTTATAATTTTGAGGGAATTTTATGATACTATGCAATATCTATACAATTTTAATGAGCTATTTGTTCCATTAGAATTAAAAAAAAAATGTAAAAAAAAATTTAATTTCTGTATTTTTTTGTATTTTTATAAATGCAATATTTCACATTAAAATAGAGTGAAGGCATTTAAAATCCATTTTTTGAAGTGAGAATTGTGCCATGATTGTGCCGTAATGTTGCGTAACCTCCTGTATAGCTCCAGTATCAATATATACAGAAGCTTTTGGATACCCGTTGTTTTTTAGACATCATTTCTTTATTTAATCAGGTTTTGCATTTAGATTTATATTTAGACATTCTAAAATATTTTTTTGTGTGTTCATATTGCTAAAGCGACAAAAGTCACCAAGTGTCATCTCATTCTGATGAAGCTACGATTAAAAAAAAAGAAGTCAAAATATAACATTTTTCGGTCAAAAATGACCGAAGAGGCCCAGAGGGTTAAGAGATTAAACAACTAGATCCACACATTCAGCAGGACTGGAACGCCTGGCATCCACTGAACTCCACATATTCTGTTTATTACGTTTTAGATAATCTCATCATGCTCTCATTGACCAATAAGAATGTATTTTAACACATTTAACCATCTTTAAATCCACAGATTTGTCTTTAAATCAACACTTAAAATGCAAAAAGTCCACCTGGACTCCAACATGTGCAGTGTTTGGAATAAAAGACAAGTAATCAATTCTAAATGAGACTAGATCTGCACATCTTCTGAAGGAAAGGGTGACCCGTGACTCTTTCACTTCCTGCGACTGACATCGCTGACAGGAAGTGGTTGTCTGAGGTGACTTTTCTCAAGGCACACATCATCAGGATTTGAGAATCACTGGTGTTCTTCATGTTTCGACGGCGTCAGCGGGTTTGAAGCGCGAGCTCTTTCTCACGAGCCGTAACAGAGGCTGTTTCTGAGCTGAAATTCACTTATTCTAATAGAAGACCATCTCACTGCGCTCCACATACCAGCAAACTCCTTCAACAGCAGTTCACTCCTGCTGGAGCTCAGCGCTTTATATATAACAAATATAATAATTATAACAATGTAGAAAATAAATATAAAGGGTGAGAGAGCCAAACACCAAAACGAAGCTAAATAAAAATATAAATAAATTAATTAAAAAATTAAAGATTCATTTGAAGATATTTCAGGAACATGTCATATTATAATATGCATAATAAAGCAATAAGCCCCGTGAAGCCGTGGTTTACAGTGAATTTACAGTTGTGGTTCCAACAAAGTGGTTGCCGAGCAACACACAGAAGTAAACAAAGGTGTATGTTACTTTGTAGAGTAATTTAGAACAGCTTCGAACGTGGCTCAGCCAATCAGAATCAAGGACCGGAACTCTCCGCTTTATAATATTAAATTAAATGTATAATGTAAAATTTTATTAAAAATGTATAAAATTGTGAATTTTAAATGTGCTTTAAAAAATTATTACAGCTTTGCTGTGCTTATTTGTAAGGTTGCAGAATTTGGCTAAAATATTGTAATTATTATATATTAATATAGCTACAAAATAATAGTAATAATAATATAGAAAATGCATATAACCAGTCAACAAGTCTCTTGTCCAGTGCTAAGCTAAATAAAAATAAAAACTAATTTACTTAACAACAGAGCCCAAACTATTAAATAAAAACAATAGCTTTTTTGCAATTCATTGTCAGATATAGTTAACACTTAAACAACTCAAAACATTTATTGTGTGATTTTTCTGACAACACTGACAGAATTTAACAGCCGAGACTTATTTTTATTAAAAAGAAATTATTTAAATGTATTAATAGAATCAATCAAATTAAAAATAAACTAATAATAAACTAATTTTACTCATGCATTAAGTGAAAAAGCATAGACTAAAAGATTGAGATCATCATGCATCAGTAAAATCAATATTGTCTTCCACAAAAGCATGGATTTGAAACAATAGGCTAATTAATTATTTAATAACTACTCTAAAACCACACTAAGGCACTTCAAAGCTTGATAGGATTTAATGCTCCAGTTTGCTCTCTAAACACATGAACTCGTGTCTTGGAAAGCATGAAGAGTCACGTCACACACCCCTCGCAGTAAACCGAAACTGAATGTATGAAGTGTCTAAAGGAAGGAGGTTTCTGAAAGAGGAAACAAGACGCTTCAGAACCGGCTGCGGCTCAGTCTGTGTGAGTTCACATCATTCAGACATCACCACTGCAGCACACCTCACCTTTAAGATGGATTTGCTCAAAGGTAATTCTAAGAATCAGAGACACGGTTCACAGCTAAAATCCCAGCAAATCCCAGAGCCCTGTTCATCAGAACAACCAGTTCAAAACTGCCACGAAGCACACGGCAGCCATATGCAGCTCTACTGAGAACCTAATAAACAAAGAGACCGAGAGAGCTGCTATTGACCAACCCGGCACTCTTAACTAGCGTAGAGAAGACAAACCGGTTTGGAGAAAAAAACAAAAAATTTTATTGTGATTTTTGAGATAAAAATCATTATAATATAATTTGCCGTATAATAAATTTATTATATATATTATATAATTATTAGACTATTTCTAAAAAAATACTAAA